TTTTTTAAAACGAAAACGGAAAATCTCCGTTTTCAAAAATACCCGTGTACGTGTGGACATAGCAAAAGTCACAAAGTTTAAATCATCTTAAGCCAGTTTCTTGGACATGACAATGGCCTCCACAGTAACCAATCTCAATTCGGAAGAGCATCTTTGGGATGTTACGGATATCATGGATGTGCAGCCGACAAATGTGCAGTCATCATGTCAATCTTTCCAACACTTTTTTAGAAGAATGAAGTTCCTGAAGGGGTCCAACACAGTACTAGTGTGTACAAGTTCAAGTATGAATTCATGAAGTGAATACTAATGAAAAGTGTCCAGATTGCTGCAGCTTTGTTATTAAAACTGTTATCATATTACATCATACTGATGCTCAAAGATTGTTACTCAAAAAAATAATGTGCTTAACAAAAACAGGATTCTGGGTTTTTGGCAGTTGGAGTGTGTAAAATTGATTTGGTTGCAGCTAAAATGAATTCGGCTCTAAAAATTTCATGCGTCCATCTCTTGTAGATATGAGGGCTCAAATGTGCCTTGAAATGATAAATTAAAAAGCACACCTTAGGTACTTTGATTGCCTGTAACTTGTATAATTCCACAGAATGAGTGCAAAAGTCATACTAAGGATGACTCTGAGGGTATCTGAATTGGATTATCTTCGGGTTTTGTTAATCTAATAGAGAATGCATATATCAGTGTGTTGCAGCAAATATAATCCCCTGTTGTCCCACAAAGAATTTTCCCCATAAACCACAATCATAAACTGGACAGCTCTGATGTTGTCAACAGGATACCTCTGTCTGCAAACAATGCCTTACCACTGTTTTTGTTATGACATGTGTCATGGTCTGGCTCCAAGGCCACAACAAAAATAGAAGGGACACATCAGTGGGCGGTGAATTTGAACAGTTATTATGATGAAGCAAACAAGAAGAGAATTCTAAATCTGCAATATGTTTATCAGATAAGTCAGTCAGATAAATGTGGGTGTATGAGGATGGTGAGGTGGAGGATGTTGTGGAGCACGAGCTGAA